ATTGATTCCTACTGTGTTGGTAACTATGACAGTAACGGCATTGACGGTATTTTTAGTGCTGAAAAAAAGAATGTTAAGTCATAAGAAATAATCATGAGTGATGTTAAATGTTCACTTTGTCTGGTTTTGTTGCAGCATGCCCCATATGTGAAATTACCTTTTCGAATTTCTTGATAATACTTCGACTAGATTTAGATATCTGTTTTTTCTTGCGGCGGATTTGTTTTGTCGGCTAATCAAAAATTTTCTACATTCTCAAAATTTGCGCATTCTCATTGGTCAGATTATCGTTATCATGTGACAGTCACTTTCTTTTTCACTTTAAAACGAATCTAATCAAAATTTATTAAACAAATCTACATATGTTTTGATGCTTTTGATAACTTTTTCAACAGTAATTGCTGTTCTTTCATAATAAATCTTCTCGTACTCAAAATTTTAATAAACAAAATTAATACATTAGAAAAAAAGTCTATTGTAATAAATTGATGCATCAATCTGATGTATCAATACTCTTTTGCTTTGCCTGCTCATTGTCCATACTTTTAACAGCCACTTTACTGCTCTTTAATCGTTCAATTCCTTTTCCTACATTTTCTATATGAACCTCAATTGGCATACCAATTAACGAAGGTTTCATCACTTGTTCGCGTAATTCCTCGAGATCCAGTAGAAATGAAGTCAAACTGTAGAGAGTTGTTTGTATTTGTGCGACTGCATGACGCCGTTGTCTGTCCAAGTCTTGAAGTAGTTGTAGATTTTCTTGGAATATGTGTTTTTTAACGCGATTGCCTCCTAGATAAGACCATAATTCGGCCAATAGCTTATGACGTTCAATTTTTTGCAGTGAAGCTTCTTTTGCGGTCAATTCGTGGATTCCGACGAGCATTTCGTCAAGGTCAGTAAGACTATTGAAATGGTTTATATTTTAATATAATTAAAGTTCATGTATAGTATGAAAATGTATTTTTATTCAATACCTTCCGAGAATATCTTGTCCCGCTAGAATCATACGTTTCAAATCCCCTTCCATTAATCCCATCATCTGATCGTAAGCCTGAACCAGTTCTTTTGAACTAACTTTTTGATCTCGTACATTTTCTAACGTTTTCAACGCGAACAAATTATACGTAATCAAATTATCCACAGAAGACCTTGTACGAGCCTGCAACACTTGCAAGTTTCTACCCACCACGCGTGACTTATCCACAAATTCATTTAACCGATCCACCAACTCTGGTGCACTGATCAATGATGAATATTTCACCAAAGTACGAAGATCCCCGGTTGCCAACTCTGCTTTCTTAATATCTAGTGCCAGTGTAGATGTCAATCCCGTCTGGGAGATTGTTTGATCCATTAATTGCTCGTAGGTTTCTACTTGCCGTGTTACTAGGCGCGAGAAATCGGGAATCGGTGATTGACATGATGGGAAAATGCTTGTGAGTGGGAGACGACATATAAATATTGTGATCTCGGTTTGAAATGTTTGAGAGGCAAAGCTTAATGAAGACCATGCAATGTAAATCGCGAGAATTATTGAAAGTATTGGTTTTAAGAGTTGCAATGCTCCGATGAATACGTCTATTGTTGATTTTATTATTATTGACGAATAATTGAATCAATCCTTTTAATTAATAAAAACTCTTGAATTTCTATAAAAAATAATGATATAAAATCAATCAATCAATCATAAATTAACTTCGAGTAATATTAGTTTTTAGAATCAATAAAACCATCCATCCCAAATATTTGTTCTATTTTTCTTGCCTACATTTCTATCAATTTTTTCATTTTTTATGTAGTTCATAGAGTTATCATAAAACCTACCAAACAAGAACATACGCCTACATTTCTATCAATTTTTTCATTTTTTTATACATGTAGTTCATAGTTGACCTAAGAGCTTTCATAATACCTACCAAGCAAAAACCAAATTGGTCCAAATAAACGATTAGTATCTATGACATCTGCTTCTCCATTTATTCTTCCATCTTTTTTTTGTGTCATTATTCGCGTCCCCTCTTTTTGTTAAATATAGCGTTTACTTCGAAATACCAGAACACTGGAGTATATGCGTTTTGGTGTAGTAATGATACACGAAAATCCGATCAAATTTTGTACATTAATAAAAACTTGGACTATCATTGCCATTACTATACAGCATAATTGTAAAGGTAAATAATGTCAAAAGTCTCTTGAAAGAGGTTATACTCTTTTGATGTTGAATGCAAGTTTTTTTATTCGCAAACCTTAGAAGAATTAGAACATTGTTTGGCTACAATTAATGAAGATATGGTATGTTAACATGGCAATTGACAATAGTCATTTATGCATTATTTTTTTCCTCTTTTCTTGCGTCCGCCAGCCACAGCAGTATTACTATTCTCAGCAACAACTATCTGTCCACCTGCTAATTCTGGGTTCTCTTTCATTTTTTCTTGATAAGCTAAACTGAACATTAAATCTTTTACTTGTTCCTCCAAATCTTTGATTATTGCATCTTTAGCTGCGAGTTGTTCTTGAAGATGATGCTGATTTACAGCTAAAGATCTCGCCATCTATTTAATCAAAAAAAATGAGGTTGAACAGAGTAGGAAAAATAATACAACGGAAGATAATTACCTCTTTTTCTTCTTTCCATTCTTTTTCAATCTTATCGATTCTTTCTCGGGATTTCATCAATTTTTTTTCAATTACAATTTTCTCTTTTAATAGATTTGGCATGTGTTGGGTCTCCAGTAATTCTTTTTCATTTTTTAATTTCTCATTGTCAAGTTTCAACACGTCAACTTCGTCTGTAAGTTTTTGAACCTGATTACTTAATGATGATAATTGAAGCGTGATTGTAGAAAGTTTTTCTTCATAAAAAGTTCTTTGAGATGAAAGCTGTGTTGTAAGAAGGTGACTATATTCTAATTCGATCTGATCCACTTTATCCTGCATATATATGAATGAAATAATTAATTCAAAGCAAAATAAAGTTGGTATTCATAAGGTAATACTGACTTGGTTTACTACAGATTGATTTTGAATTAATGTGGGTGCATTCGGACTTGGAAGCTCGACTAGTTTCCCATCTGATTTATTTTGGATTAGCCGATGAACGTATCTATGGAAAAAGCATCGACAGATTAAATCAAGTTCCGTAAAAACAATAATTCCTTACTGTCACTCACCCATCTCCAGCATAATCCCATACCCTTTGTGTTTCCAATTCAATGGCATATAAATGCGTTGGAGTTTCTTTGTAATGATAATAAGCATGTGCACCTTGATAACGTCCGCATCCAACGTTTCCGCACAAGATGCACATCCATAATGATTCTGTAGAACCACAGACACCGCATTCATTCTGCGAATATTCAAGAGTTTCTCGTTTTTGACTGTACCGACAAACCGGACAACTATTTTACAAAAAGATCCGATATGATTCAATAGTTTCACTATTATTTAAGAGATCTCATTATTAATTATGAATTTGACAGAATTCCTTACCCGGGCAGGAAATCGCTAACCAACCCTAGGCGGATCTATAATACACGTACCTACTATCACCCCATTTACTCAAACATTTACAATGAAAAGTATGTTGGCATTGAATAGTCAGTAGCCCTGTTGCGCTAGAATCCATTCTTTCCAAACAGACAGGACATGTAGGAAGCTCATGCAACATAGAATTAGTGTCTGTTTGTTGTAACGATGATAAAAAAGGATCATGTTGAAATGAAAATTCATTTGCTGGTGTAGAAGTTGATTTGCATTCAATTGATTTAATATAAACTACATGGCATAATTCGGGCTACTCACACGCGAAATAAGAAAAATTTATCAGTTTGATTACATTAGACTAAGGAATACACATTGTCAATCTCACCTCCATTGAAGTAAACGCGCGCCCATTATAATTATTATAAAACTCATTGGCAGAACGTGCAGTTCGGAATTTCATCAAAACCATATATTTATTTAATGCCGAATCCCTGAATATAATAAATTTAAAATGGTGATTAATCTTCATCGAAAATTATCAAAATCCGGTCAACATGTTAAATTTATGAAATACCTAATCATTCTGAAATGGCTAACAAATTTTCGAACTGGAGCGACGAATCCTAGGAAATCGGACGCACTAAAAGAAACAGGCACAGCTAATACAGCCAATATTGTTTTATCACTTAAATCCAGGTTCTGTCCATTTAATTCTAGATTAGAGGATTCGTCGCTACTCGCTCCCGAATTAAAAACCTGTTTGCCATTAATTCCTATTTTCTCATTAGAGGTGGAATTTGCTTCATTTGACTGTGGGATTTCTTTTGGATCACGATATAAATGTAATATTCCATAACCAAGATTCGTTCGATTCGGCTCAATTGGCAAAAATTGTGCTACCGGTCTTTTAATTGAACTAGTTACATTTTTGGGACTTGGTCCATTTATCTCTGCGAGCGCAGAACTAGTTGGGAGCGCAGTAGAATTCGAAGACGGTAAACTGTCTGAACTTTGTCCAGTTGAATTTTGTGGTGTAATCGTCGATGCTAAATCGTTATTTGAGCCAATTGTCGTGGGATTTTCTGACTCTTCAATCATTTTTAGGCTTTCCTCGGTAAACCACTCTAAGAATATCGCACCGAATCGAAAATCTTTAGTTTTATCAAGCGATTTTTCGGTTGAGTAATTAGAAATATTTGTTGGAACAGAAGAAAGAGCAGTTGTTGTTCTCCCTTTCCCGATGGTTTTCCACTCTGAAGTTGACGATTTTCGGCTTTTACTTAGGTCACCCTTATTAATGTCGGGAGCTGGAGTTGGTGGTATTGCTGGGAATTTTTCAGCTTCCACAGGCGTACGAGGTTTAGAAAATTTAGTTGATTCTCTTAATTTTTCTTTATTTTTCAAATTATTATTAGTATTGTTGCTGTTATTTGACTTTGAATGGGCAGGTAGCGATGCAAAAAGGTCTGTTGGGATGTAATATAATTCAGATTGTTTTATTATATGTTTTTTTGATTTTTTTACTTGCAATTGCTTGTTAATGCGATTACTATTATCAATTTTGCTGCCTTTATAATTTTCTTGTATTGGAACGTATAATTCAAATTTTAGGTGGTAATAGAACATTGTTCAGTCAAAGAACGAAAGAAATTTTTAGCATGTTATATGGTAAGCCACCGCTGAAATTTGTGCTGATCACTATATAACACGCAAAATATGAACTTAGCCTAACTTGGAGTACTTAATAAAAAATGCAATTTTATTTATAAATCGAAGGAAAAGAAGTCACGTGTTCGTAACATGCAAGCCTTATTAGATCACTTTTCTCTATGAAATATGCTAGAATAATTAACATCACTCAGATATCAGACTTATTTTATTCATAATTTAATATTAGAATAACTTTCTTTAAATTACTTTTTTATTCAATCAAGATTACTTTTTAATCTTAATTTAAATATTTTACAATCAGTATAAAAAGTAATAATAATAATATTAACTACTAAATTTTTTGTCAGATAGCATCTATCAAAAAGTAATCAATCTTGTACAATATATACAATATTTTTTCCATGTTGCATATCATTCTTTTTTTGATTTATAATCAAAATGTAAACAAAAATAATTTTTATTATCTTTAAAAATATTTGATAATTTTATAAAATTTAATTATAAGATAATAAAGAGATTTTGATAAAATAACTAGTATAATATTAGAGAAATTTTGCAAAAAACTGATATTTCACTTTATTTTTATAAATATTACATAACTTTATTTTGTAAAAATAGATAAATTTCAGATATTTATTATTCTAATCATTTATATAAAATTTTACTTATTATATATCATCACATTAGTTAAATCATAAATTCAAATCATTTTTATATAGTAATTAAAATCAAAGTATAACTTGAAAAAATATATTCAGAATTTGAAATAGATATACAAACTATCTATAATAAATTTTTTAGACTTAATTATATTACTTTCTTATCAAGATATATTTTTTTTATCTCTTAAGTTAAAGAAGACTAATTTTAATAGGTTAGTAATTATTTTGATTATAACTAATATAAGATTATATTTTCTGATAAAATAATTTTACAATTATCTTAAAATACTTATTTAATATAATTATATAAAAAAATTATTATATTAATAATAAAATATTTATTTAAATTTTATATATAAAAAATAATTTATATATATGAAAAAGTTAAAATATATATATTTATATAAAATATAAATTAATATCTGTATTATAAAATTTTTAATAATTATTTATATAATAATGCAACAAATATATATGATTATTAATACTGAATTTTTAATAAAATAATAATTTAAAATATTATTTAAATTATATAAAGAATAATTTTAAAGTTAAAATATATTTTTTTATAACTATTATATAATTTTAATCTTAATCTAATTAAAAATATTTGATTATTTCTTAAATAAAATATTAAAAAAAAATAAAAAAATTATTACTTAAAAAAATTAATATTATAAAAGATTTTTATTATATTAATAAAGAATGAATAAATAAATCTTTCTATAAAACTAATCTTTAGTTATATTAATAATATATCAAATCATATTTAAGTCTATATTAATAAGAAAGAAGAAAATATTAATATTTTATATAAATATATTATCCTATTTAATTATATTTTAAAAATAAATTTTTTTTGTATTTTATTATTTAAATTTTTTTATTTTTAAAAAAATTAATTTATTATTACTTTTTATATTAATTAATTAAGAATTTAATTTTTCTAATTGAATTTTTAATTAAGTAATTTTTTTATAAGATTTTATTTTATTAATTAATTCTTGAAAAGTTAATTTTTTTAAATATTTAATCTTTATTTCTTATTACTTAATCTTATTTAATAATTTTTTTTCTATTTTTTACTTTATTTTTTAAATTTTTTTTGAAACTTAACTATTTTTTCTTATTTAATTTTTTTTAGTAATAAATAATTCTTTCTTAACTTTTTATTTTTATTTTCAAGATAAAAATTATAAGAATTAATAACTAATTCTTTTTTTAAGATTAATTTATTTAATTTATTTTTCTTTAAATAATAAAAATATTTTTTTTTAATTTATTATATAGTAGTGACCAAAAATAATAACTCAGAGGCTAAATTTACTAATAAAATATAGTGAAAATTAAAATTTTCTCTCTATATTAAAATTTATAATTTTAAT